ATTAGGGGGGCTTACCCAGTATGTATATAAGCCAGTAGGTCTGCACCAGTAAGGGCCAGACTAGTTATAGTCATTTACTTGCTTCATCTAAAGCCATCCTCTACAGTAAGCTGCCATCAAGCCCTTTACTTGGAACTCCAGCCAGTGAGTAGTTGTTTAGGGTTAGGTTTAGGATCTAGGAGGCAGTCATGGCAAGTCATCACATGACACTTTCCCTGAGCCCAAGGGAGCAAAGAATCCTCAACCTACCAGAGGAAATTCAGGAAACCCTGGAGACAAAGAACCCAGTAATCAGGAAAGCAACATGGCAGATGACAATAGCCAAAATGGAGCAGTCAACAAGGCCAGTATCTTTAAAGGAGACAGAGCAAAGAGTCAACAGTTCCTAGGGGAACTCTACCTCTACTTCCTAGGAAATTCCAAATGCATCAGGATAGATGATGATAAAGTTAAATGTGCTCTGTCCTCTACATCAAAGAAGTGGACTACTTCTTTGGTAATCAACTCATCACCAATGCCAGAGTACCTATTTCTGACAGTCCTGATGTCTCAGAAACAAGCCTACCTGGGTGGAGTTTGAGAAAGCCTTTATTACTATGTTTGGCATCAAGGACAATACCCAAGCAGCCCTCAATGCTATCAGTGCCTGTTCATGGGATTTGTGCAACAGAGGTGGCTTAATTTTTATCAGCACCTTGCAACCTCTTTTACAAGCCAGTGGCTTGAATAAGCTTCTCAAAATCAGAGAAATTAAGCAGTTCTTACTGACCTTCATCCTAAGCACTATTGTGAGTATCCCCCTGGTCCCTACAACAGTGATAGGATTCCTGGATAGGGTCCAAGCAATCACCCAAGTGTGGAAAGATCTGCTCAGTGATAGACAGAATAATTCATCCACCATCTGATGAGCTCAACCTCCCAGGTGCAACAGAGCAATAGATACAGCTGAAGAAAAGTCCTCTAACTGGAGACAATGTCCTAACAGAGGAAAAGGAAAAACCCAGCAAGGGCAGCAAGTCTGTTGACTTACTAATGAGGAACACAAGCAACACCTAGAGAAACAATTTTGTTTCAGATGTCACAAACCTGGACACCAGAGTCATCAATGTCCCAACAATTGCATTCATGCCATGGAGATCCAGGAAGCCACTCAAGATTTCACCAGTGGAATAGAGGAGTTGTATGAGGATGAGAACATTACAGAGCAACACATCCAAGTGATCCAGAGTCAGGAGAAAAATATTTAAGAACCTTGACTGCAGTGATGTCAAATCAAGGTAATGGTGTTAAGGAATATGTATACAGGGCCAGGATCTCTCAGAAATCTATTTATCTTTCCTGTACAATCAAGTCTAATACCAAAACAGTTACAAGTGAAGCTCTTCTTGATTCAAGAGCTGTGGACAATTACATCAACATTGAGTTTGTGAAGGAACATGGCTTACAATACCATGCAATCAAACTATTAGCAGTGTTCAATGTTGATGGAACTAGGAATAAAGTCACCTTCATCACTCACAGAGTCACCTTTACTCTGTATCTAGCTCAACAATCCATGAAAGTTTCTGCCTATGCCACTGCATTTGGAAGAAACCCTCTCATTGTTAAGGGACTTAATGACTGAGGATAAGGAGTCCAACTTAAGACTGATACTGATACTGATACGTGTAAGGCTGATGTGTTACACTTGTACTAGACTTGTAGACTGAGCCACTGTAACTGACAGTGGTTTGAGAGTGTCTACTGGTTGAAGCAAAGCTTCAGACTAAGACTTGAATAGACAACTGAGTCCTAGACTGAAGATGTCCCTATGAAGTGTACGTAGGGAACAAGAGGACAAAACTA